GAAGGTCACAGAACTTCTTAGTATTATGATTACTCTCACTGTACATAAGTAACACTAAGGTGTAAACTCAAAAGATTGAACAAATTTTCTATGTTCTAACACACTGGAGGTGAGTTGTTTTTTTTGTAAAAGAAATCCACATCTTTTTGTGTGCAACACCTGCACAAAGTTTTCATTTATAATTTAGATAGAAAAGCACTTCACAAATCATAATGAACAAGGTCTGAATACAGACAGACAGACTTATTTGCAGAGCATAAAACACATAGATGGACAAGACTGATGGCAGGATTTCTTGTTTGTCCCTATTAGAATTTTGTTAGAAAGATTAATCCCATTCCAGACAACTGATATCTGAGACATTCTGTACAGACAGTTCAACAACTATGTCAAGAATTTAATCCTGGGCAACGTCAGGCTCACTCACAGAGAAAGAAAGACCTAGAGGAAGAAACACCCCCACTTTTAGAAAAGCATCAGAGCCAAACAGATTTCCCACCACAAAGACACTTCATGAGGGGCACAGTTTTTGTTGTTGCTGGGTTGTTTTTTGGTGTTGGGTTAGATTGTGTTTCTTTTTTTTCTTTTTTTTTTTTTTAATGGTAAGCTTTACAGGAAAGAAAAAGGTCAACTGAGATTTGTTCAGTGAAATGCAGTACAAAGAACCTGGTAAGAAAGATGCATTACATTGCACCAGTTTACATCATGGGTGAATCCTGTCTGGCAGTGTCACACACACAGTTAACCATGAATATTATTAAGGATCAGTAATAATAAGAATAATTTAGCTGGTCAGTACCTTGATAGCTAATCTTTTCTGTTTCAATGGCAAGAAAAGGGATCTATCTATGAAGCTGATAACATAGTAGTGGAAAACCAGAAAATGTCAGACAAGCATCCACTGCAATTCTGCATGCTCATGGTCTATATTATGCCCCAGATCCACTGTGGATCATGAGATACTTGACTGTACACAGGGGACCAATGAAGTCACAAGGATTCAACCACATAAAGAAGAAAAAGATCTCTTCTGTGTAATTCCCACAAGATGCTTATATTCAAACCACCACACCAGGAAAACCTTCTAATGGCCATAAATTTGAATGCACATGCAAAAGCCCACTGAGATACTTAGACAACCAGCAGGATTATCTCCAACATCTCTTTCTCTTTTTATACACTATGATTTTATATTTGTGGATGGGGCTTTAGAAGCCTTTTGCACAATACAGTGGTTATCAGCATCAGAAGTGCAGATAAATCAGAAAAAACCCTGTATCTTAAAAGGTATTCAATATTGTACCTTCCTTTGATGAAAAAGAGCAAACAAAAAACAACAAAAATCTTTCTTTACATCCATTAAAAAGGGCAAATTCATTACAAGTAACAAAATAAATGTTAAAGAGAAAAAATGTGGCTTAAACCTCTTTTCTTGTTATAAAATACTCTCTCAAATGAAACTTTTTTTTTTTAATGTTCTGTGGTTGGTTGGTTGTTTTTCTGAACTGACATGATCCTCTGAAGCAAAGTTATCTGTTTGCATGCCTGGGGGGCCCCCAGGCCTTCCCAAGCCAATACCACTTTATTTTATCTTAAGTTTCTAACAGAGCAAAAGCAGAGTCACTGCAGAAAGAAGCAATGAAACAAAGGAGGACGACGTTGATGGACTTCCCAAGGTCGCTGCAGGTGCCAGACAATGGTTCCCAGGAAGGGAAAATATGGTTGTTTAAAAACAAATTTGGTGCATGTGGCAAGCGTGGATGTTTCCCCGTGAGATCCAAGGTGACATGTATGACGACAGACACAGGAAAGGAGTAAGGGGAAGAAGGGGAGGGAAGGGAAGAAAGGACGAGGAAGAAAAAGAAAGAAAGAGAAAGAGAGAAAAATAGATAAAAAAAATTAGGTCATAAATATAGAAAACATAAGAATAAAAGGTTTATTTAATTTTGTAAATTAAAATGGCTAAAGGTTAAAGAAGAGCATTAGCACATTCACACTGATGAAAGGGCCAGTTCAGAAGCTCAGCAATGTCTAAAGCTGCAGAGCAGGGTCCAAGTCAAGGTTTGTAGGGGTTGCAAGCAAATGAGATTAAAAATGATGGAACAGAAGGCTCAGCAAGAAACACAAGAAAATGGTTATCTGGTATTTGAAAGGACAACACTGCCTTCTACATATAAGAAAAAAAGAGAAGAGCTTTTGTGTAGCAGAGAATCCACCTGCCTGTCCCAGTTCTTCCCCCAAACCCTGTTGTACCAAGGACTTGGGTAATGGATGCAGGTGACTGAACTCTGGAGAAGCAAGGTTTCAAGAATACAGGACTGACTTTTCCATTTAGCCTTCCAGCTGCTTATAAACCACTCTAATGCAATTATTCTTATTATTACTGAAAATAATAGCCTTAGCCTTACAACCACTTTAAGGACACTGTACAGATAATGACAAAGGACTCTATACCATAAATACACATTTTGTCTGCAGCAAATTCCTAGCTGTTACTGACAAGCAGAGCAATGCCATGTTAGAGGCATCAGCTCTGACTTCTCCTGTGTAGCTCATTTTGAAATCAAAATGTGAAAATTACATACCATGAAAACAACAAGCAATGCTACATTGAAGTAAGACACAGACACAGAGTCTCCTCCCTACTGCAATTTGGCAATACTTGCCCTCATCTCAACAGAGGCCTGTGGGCTGCATGTCAGAAAAATCTTTTCCCCCATGTTACTAGTTCCCCAGTGCTACTAGTGGATCAGCTTAGCTGGAAGCACCTTTGAAGGCCTCATAGACACCCAGGTCCTCTACAAAATTAAGAAACCCCTAGAGAACCAGAGTCACAAATCCAGCATAGTCATCAATAACCATTTCACAGTGCAGTGCTCTACCTGCCCCTGAGCCAGAGCACATCCCTTCTGAGAAGCAACTGCATCCCTCTGTTGGTGAACACTGCAGCAGGTCTGCCCTCCACAGGGCTGCTGTTCAAAGCCCTTCTCACTCCCAAGTACAACATTCCAGCAGCAGCCTCAAATCCTGACTCCTCACTCAGTGAGGGATTATCTCAGAAAGGCCAAAGAAGTTACGTTTGTGATAAACTTGACCTCCCCCACTCCCCCCTCCATTTTTTCCAGAGTCCCTGCCCATGTCACTGTTGGCTTTAAAGGGCTCGGCAGCGTCTGGGCTCATTGCTCCTCCCACCAGCACGGGCTATAATATGAACACTGTCTATTCCAAAAGGAGCAGCATTCCCAACATTTGCTAATACACATCTCCTCCTGGCTGTCCCAGGTAGCTTTGTTGACCCATTGAGCACACATAAAAGGCTAAAAGAGAGTATCAGCACAGGAAGGCAACAGTGGTTGCACTCAAGAGACTGAAGAAACTGCAAGACCAATCAGCCCTTGTAGCCTTCCCTGGGGAGATGGGTCACAGTGCAAGGGAAGCACTTTCTGCTGTTTCCAGCCTACCACATTCGACTGTTCAGCTCTGAACTGACCTTAAGGCACTCTTTGCCAAATTACCCTCACTTTCTCCTGCCACATCAGTCAGTTGTCCTTCAAATATGTGAGGGTAGCAAGTATTAGAGCTGTTGAAAATGAGAATCAGCGAGTCAGTTGCTTAATGAGTTAGTGGATCCTTCCACCCAAAACTACAGCCTCGTTCAAACACACAACCCAATCTCTCTTTTGCCCCATTTCCCCCTCCTCCTCCCTATCCTCATCCTCTACCATAGACATTTTTCAATTGTCAACCAAACTAGGTCACTCATTTGTATGGTTAATGATATTATCTAGCTTCATCAAGTGGAGTTACATCATGCAAACTGCACAAAGGCCTCAGCTGTTTCCTTCACACAGGAAGGGAATGGGTGCAGTGGGGGCAGACCAAGGACTGAACTCTCCATGCAAGGCCAAAACTGAAGAAAACTCTGGTTGTTCAGAAGAAAAACATGAGACTGAGTTAACAGTCTTGAAAACAGAATGAAATCAAATAACTCCCTTCAATATGGACTGTCAGCACCAATCTTAGAATGAATATGCTTAACTCTGGCTGTGCAGTGAGGACTTCATCCTGACTGGCTCATCAGCTTTAAAGTTAACCCATCTGCCCTTAACCAATCAGAAATCTAATTTACAGGTAGTCCAGCAATGTAGTCCTTGAGGTTTTGGGTTGTTTTTTTTTATTTGTTTTTAAATGTGCATTACTACTACCTGTGTAGAAAGGAAGTACGAGCTGTCCATAACACCTTCCATCACTGCTCAGTTCCTAGTATCTCAGCCAGTAGGATCTGCTTGTTTTTCCTAGCATTTGTGCTTCTACCTCACTTTTTAAGCATGCTAATAATTACAGTTTGTCTGAAACAAGAGTTGCCAGCAGCGTTCTAATGTTATTTACTTCTTCCTAATGTCCTACTCAACATTAAAACAGTGCTGCTTTAAAATTACTGTAATTTGATCTCCATTTCATTTAACAAAAAACCTTCAGAGGAAGATTTTAAGCCCCCTCTCTTTCTAATTGCTAGCGAACTCCTTATGCCTCTATTCCTGCAAAGGCTGAGCTGGATGGACAAAAAAAGCAGTAAGCAAGCCCAAAGCAGATGTGGGAGGGATCTGCATTGTGAAAAGCATCACCCCAGACACCTGAACAGCATCTTCTGCTTCAGTTCACAATGGTAACGCCACTTTCTGGGGTTACAAAGCGTTTTCTATCCACAGCTTTTCTCATCTGGCAATCTTGTTATTCTGATACAAAAAGCCAACATTCCCTGTACACAGAGCAGGATCTGTCAGGTAGCATTCCTGAGTGTACTGCTAAAGCTGTACCTCCTGTGACAGGGACTACAGCACAGGTACGTACACGGCACAAACCGAGCTTTGGATGGGGAACCAACTGCGATAATGGCTTTAAGCGAGCAAGTTGCCAGGGTTACTCAGGCACATTAAAGGATGCAGCACTGTTGCATTAATTGAAGCTGAAATCAATGCTGAAGCTTATGGCTGCTGTACCTGGGATGACCGTGGGCTGAGCAGAGGTCCGGAAGGCGTAGCGGGCTGGCTTGGACTTCCCTTGCTGGTTTTCCGCGATGACGTAAACCTCGTACTCTGCGTTCCAGTCCAAGGACTTGAGCATGACGTGGTCGCTGCCAGAGGGAAGTCTGATTTCTGGTTTCCACTCTGAGGAATGCTTCTGCAGGGCAGTGAGATAACAGGCAGGGATGCAACACACACAGCACAGCATTAGTCACTGGCTCTGAGAATGCTCTAGTGGCTAACTAATACAATGGAAAAGTGGGGACGTTTCTGTACACGCGCTCCTCAGCTAAGTCAGGGGTGCAAAGCTTCATGTACTGTTAGCTCAAAGTGGAGAGGACAAGAGATACTTAAGCAGCCTCCTTCCTGCTCAGAATCCCCTTTCCCACAGTGTTACCACATCCGAGGAAAATTCCTCTGTTCCTCCTCTCATCTTTGCCATACCACTACACAAATTCCATCTGAGAGGGGAAAAGCTGCAACTTCTGTATGGCTCTGCCCTGCAAAGCACTTGGTGTTCTTTCATGTCTTAGCATGTTAAATTCAAATCATCAGACAGACATTTACCTCTTAACAGCACTCCAGCCTAGCTTACCACCATTCTGTTCTGCAGCATTTAGAGAGATTTTAGAAGGTGCATACAATCAGTAACTACAACAGTTCCTACTCCAGTTTCAGGGAATCCAGATGTACGTTTTACCCAGACAAATCTGAAGAACTGACTGCCAAGGGACCTTGAGACAGCCTTAGGCAGTTTTCTGGGGCTGAAATGTGCTAACAGACTGCATGGAGAAGTAACTTTTCACAGCAAGTGAAAGGAAAAGAAAAAAAAAAGCAGAAGGAAAGAAAATGAGACACAGATTTTGTATGTTGCTTCTGTGCCTACCCTGTCACACCCTGTACACTTCCACAACACCTGCTCAGCATGCATTCCTGAACTGGCCTACCTAGAAGATCTTAGCTTCAGGGTTATCTGCTCACATAGCAAAGCCCGAGTACTGAACAGGCTAAATACAAATCAGCCTTGAACACCAGTCATACTTACAGCTTTGTATTTGATCAGGTAATGCCTGATAGGGGAGCCACCATCATCCTGCTTGATAACATTCACTTTAATGGAGTTGCCATCTTCTCCCATGTGACCTTCCAGTTTGGGTGCGCTGGGTTCCCCTGAAACAATGGTGGATTTAGGATTATTTGTAAAAAAAAATTAATTAAGGAAAAAGTACTCATCAAAATCAGGAAGATACTTCATTATACTCAGCTGCCAGGGTATCAGCCTCATTCTGACCCACAGAGGACACCCTGTGCCTAGGGTACAAGGAGTTGCAAGACCCAAGTATTTCTCACATTTGGTAGTTTGTTTTCACCAACACAAGTTACCTTGTTTGTGTGTCCCTGAATGGAGTCAGAGGCTAAGTGAAAAAAGACCCTGCCCTTCCCCAAGAATATCCTAGAGCAATGACCAGTTCTTCCTAATTTGTGTTGAGACACTGATGTCAGCCATCTGGGAGAAGTCAAGCTAGGCTATGTGGCAAACAGGCAGGCTGCTCCTGTGAAACATGAGTGTAAAAAATCATCCAAAAGGGACACTGCTTGTCGTACAGACCCGTGTTTGCACTCTGAATGTTGTTTAGGTTTAATAGTTGCTGGACCAAAGAATGGGGTGTTCACTTAAATCAGTGTGGAAAAAAGCTACTGAATGGTAGCAGTGCATCTTTTCATCCAGCTTGCACTGGTGCAACTAACTCTCATTTCCCAGTTTGCACTCCTGACATCAGCAGAGAGCTGAGATATTATTTGCCTCTGCAGGGCACACTGACCAACAGCCACACCCCTTCACACCCACATCTCTACAAAGCTTTTTCTACCCAATTCCTCTGAAACCTGCACACACAATTTGCAGAGGATTATTCCTCAATCCCAACTCAAGTGTTTCCTTCTTGTGCCTCTGTTGTAACACCTTTCCTAACAAAAGTCAAAGCCACAGACTGTCTGACTACACATTTCCACACACCCCATGTCTTCAGAAATACTACAGCAAATTGCTCAGGAGACATGCTTTATCCTTCCACCTTCATGTTACCCCAGGGATCATGTTTCCAAAGTGCTCTGACAGCCTGTGAACTTACTGTGCAAGAGGCACTAATACCTATTTAGTTGTTTTTGTGGAAGAAGAAATCCATCAACCACACAACTTCCTGTCCCCAACATTAAATTGTATCAAATTAGCAGAAGAACTTGAATGATAAAAGAGCTCTGGTCTCCTTTTTCAAAGGGGACAAGATTGCTCAGATCTTGCTGACTTCCCATGGCTGCCTGGATGCTGGCTTTGCTCCACTCCACTTTACATAAAAGCAAAAAAGGCTCAGGTTCCTCTGTGCCAATGCTCATCTGAGATTAGATTTGGAGCTATTATTTTGACAGCCCAAATCTTGAGATGTCCCAAGAACTTAGACAATGGGCTTTTCTTGAACACATGCTCACAGATACAGCAAAGCACATTGAAATAAAGTTAGAAGATGACCCAGTACTGAATGTATCCCAGTAATAAAATACCAAAACTCTGAAATGGTGACATTTGTGACTGAAGAGCCTGAATGTAACCAAATGAGAATAAAACCAGGACTCTGAAATAATATTTGTGATTTTTTTTAAAAGCTCAGCCTGTTGCCTCAAAACTTCTAAAAATATTTAATTCTGTTGCATTATACTGAAGTGAAAGGAAATAAGCATTAAGATCAACTCTGAAAGCTAACATCAGTTATGGGAATTTACAGGAGCTTTCAACCTCCCAAACATTATTCACCTATTAATAGCAAGCACATGCATTTCTGACTGGGCAGAGAAAAGTTTTTTTGTGAAATATTGATTAGAAAACTGCAAGACCTAGACTGAAACAGTAATTTAAGATTAGTTTGATTTTCTTGCAGGCTAACACATGCTCTAACATACCTACTGTTGCAAGAAAGCAAATACAGTCTATGGATACACAGAGCTCTTTGATGTGAGATACATACATTTGTGTTTCACAACATAGTAACTTCTATTAAAAACAAAGAGGGAATGCTCCTTTTTCCCATGTTACATTTTTCTTTTCTAAATCCTTGCCTCTGCCTACATCCCCATTAGAAGTCTCCCACAACATGAGCCAGACACTCAAGAGCTGTATTCCACCTTGCAACAAGCTTCTCAGTGACTGTACACTGAAAACACACAGGTAATGCTCTCAAGGTGACCATGAAGCTGCCCTTGTATGGACCTCTAATGTGATTTGAAGCAGATGTAAACAGGAAAATCTATTCCTGTGTGCTGTTACAAGAAGTGCTGTGGGCTCCTCTGGAGTTCTCGTTCACACAGCATAGGGCCATTCATGTCTCATGCAATGACAAGGGAATTTCATGTTTAACTGATGAAACATTTGACACAGAAAGTAGATTTTGCCATCTGCTGTGTAGACAAGAGGGTGAACTTTTATCTTCAGAGTGAACTGAGAATGTGTATTTGAAAAGCCCTTTGCAGCCACATTTCTCTGGGAATTACAAATGCTGAAAGTGTTCATAATGCACACAAGGCACTGGAGCTTGAAAGTTAAACAGGAAGAAATGAGTCCTACACAAGCAGAAGTACCTCACCTAGGCATACAAAAGTAATAAATTAACCATGGAATTATTTTTTCAGGCACTCATTTTTTCCTTACTCAATCCTATAAGAAAAAATATCACTGCAAAGTTATTAGGTTTGACTACTGAGCTGAAGAAGCTACTACTGCAGTAACTGTATCAGGGCTATTAATCAATAATTAAAAGGCAGTAGAAGTAACGATCTTGTTCTATCATTTTTTGAAAATGAAACCAGTTACCAGTAACAGCTGGGGCTGGGCATTCATGGCTTCTTACTTTGCTGGCCACTGAGCTACTTGTCACTGCCAAAACATTTGTAAGCAGCAACGTTGCCATATTTGTGGTAGACTTGATGAATGGCTTCACTGATAACTAGACAACAAAAGACCACTATCTCCTTGGAACTCTCTCCCACCCTCACCTTGGAGAGACAATTAGTAATAAGTGAGGGGATCTTGAAGTGAAAAGGGAACACTGTACTTAGAGAATTTGACCTTTTATATAACAGAGGCTAGATACTTTTTCCAGTGATTGAGTACCAAAACTCAAATGTGATGGAACATCCCTTGGAAAGATGCTCATTCTTCATAGATTTTACCTGTCAGAGATGCTGCTGTACCTTATACACAGCCACTGCAATAACTAATTACCCTCTCTGCTGAAACTTCACTTTGAATTGTCAGGTGTCTAGCTCCTGATTCTTTCCTTCTCCAAGAGTCTGAACACACTTCTGCTCTGAGAAACATTCTCAGCGAATGGGAGAATCTGGAGCACTCCTAAGGGCAGAAACCCAACACACACAGCAGTGCAAGCCCTGGTGAAGAATAGTTTTCTCTCCATGAATACATGGCATTTAATTTGTCTTAAGCAGGCAGATATAATCCAGATACAGGCCTGTAAAATGAAAAACGGGTTAGTGCGCAGTTTCAAACGAAGGAGGAAGAAGTTTAGTGGGAAAAGTTTAGTCCAGCAGAATCAGCATCCTATAATGAGTCAAAATGTCAGTAGCTGAAGAGAAAAGGTTGTCATCAGAAGGTTAGAGAAGAAAGTCATGCTCACAGAACATGCATCCTCCCTACAGGATGGGGGCTGAAAAGCAAGAGTGCATTACAGAGGTGTGCTACATGCCTGGGCACCTCCCACTGGCCTACTGCAGAAATCTGCCTGTTCCACCCCCAAGATGTGGGATCCCTGAAGGATCCTCCTTATGATGCTACCACTTAGCTCATGAGGAGCAGACAGCTCCAAGCATGTCAAGAGTTCCTCTGCATCATCATTTCACAAACACCTATCTGCTTAGGATTTCCTCTGCTGCCAGAAGCAGGGATGCAGGACCTTGGGCTTTCACTCCACAGTGCCACCATGCCGAGTGATCGTGTCTGGGCCAGCTGGCACCTTACTCAGCCCACCAGCCAAAGTATCAACTAGTGCAAGTGGAGCCTCCCAGAGAGCAAAAGACAAGGAACTTAAATTTTCACTCCTACGCTTTACTCTCCTTGAGAAACAGGATGGATTTTGCTCAAAGATGTAAAGTTTACTGTTTTCAGCCACCCTACATACTTCATTAGAACCTGACCACTTCCACTGATTTAAAACTGACCCATAGGGTGCTCTTCAGCAAAGGAAAAAAGTAAACCAAAGAAGCACTACTGATGAGAAAAACTAAGAAATGTGCATGGCACACTTCCTGCTTCTTGCAATCTAACCAGTTCTTGAGCCAGCCTTCTCTGGAGTTGAATTCAAGACAGCTCATGAAATCCTATATTTTGAAAAGCATCTCACCCATTCTATGAAGACTCTTCTAAAGGTGGCATCGCCCAGAATTTATAAGCTGTGGACTGCACAGCCTTCAATCTCTTCAGTGTCTTTTTGGAAACTAGTTCTGTCTCTGGTCTCACGCCTTCTGTGGCTCTGGGAATGTACTTTTTCTTTACACTAGCACTTCTTTCTTTATCTTTACAACCACAAAAAGCTGCAGAAGAAACCCCAACCAGACTGAAGCTCTTCATCATTCACCTGCCCAGATCCCTCCCCACATTGTGGGCCAGCTTATGGCTGGCTTCTCAAGAAACAGTAATGACATCAAGCAAGATCCCTGCGGCATCCGTTTGCCTAAGATCAGATTTTAGGCCAGAAACCTCTCGCTGCCCAGCATGAGACACAAGACACAGGGACTAGGTGGCTTCAGCCTTGCAGATCCCATCTTTCTAAGAAGCAGCACAATAATCTGCTGCTTTCCATGAGGGCTACCTGAATGCTGCACTGTACTGAATTACACTGCAGCTCCCAGGAGCCATCCAAGAGTTACTGCATGGTAACACCTTGGTTCCTGCATGATAACATCCTTTTCAAACTAATTTTTATCTACTCCTGCTGGAACATTAGATAGCCTCCTGCTGCAAGGAAGCAGTAAATGTTTCCTGCTATTCTTTCACCATTGTTTAATTTATATTCTAAGTGCTTTCTTGATTTAATACAAGCCTGATGTAGCTGGAGTTCAGAGGAAGCTGTTTTTCATTATCAGGTTTTCAGAGAACTCCACAAACA